GTACTTACTCTCCTAATTTCTTTCATGGAGGGTTCCCGGAGAAGGGACTCTCCCGCAGATCTCAAAGGGCGGTCGGGCATATACGGACGTAAGCGCTCGCACTTCACCTAACTGAATGTAAGAACTAGAGTACAGGATGCATTCAACCAGTGAATGTTTTCTTGAAATATTTTGATTTTTGTCATGTTCTTACCATAGCCACCAAGAAGATGCAGTTTGTTTGAAGGTGGATCCAATGTGTGGCAGAATTTCTCAGTCAACATCTGTGGTATGACCACAGACTGAAGCAACAGCAGACCAATTCACCAACTGCAACAATGTGGTTTTGTTCACACATTCATTTTCTGTCCTCATTCACGTGCCCATTCTGGATTCTGTGCCTAGAAAGCTTTGAATATTAAATAATATGCTTAAAATAGCAGTAATTTCTGTAGTATGGATAGATGATACATCATCATTCAGTGAATAGTTTCTAAAGGATTTTGAGTATCATTCCTGTATGGTATTGCAAATTCTAAAGAGACGCAGCAATCAAAGATGCTTTTCATTAACTAAAATCTTTTAAAGAAGATGAACACGAATTTCATCCAGTAGAGGAAAAGGCAATAATGCCCTCTTTGCATTGGCACATACCTAGACACTGAGCTGTTACACTGAAGAGTGTAAGGTTCACACAGGTGTGCATACACAGATATGTTCTGGGCTTGAATAAGTATAATTGAATCAAGTACCAGAACAAGCTTTCAAGTGACCTAATTAGACTTTCTCTGTGTCTTTTTCTTTCAAAATCCTTTCAAAACAAATTAGTTCTGATCTTCTTTTCTGCTGGACTGGGATGACTGTTGAAAAGCTATTTCATTTCCAATCCTTTGCTACAAAAGCTTGGAAATTTTGCTTCAGTTGTGAAATCTAATTCCTCCCTAATAGGGGCCTGTCCACAGATACAAGATAAGAGCATGTGGGAGACAGAAATTCATTGCATGAAATGGCCTTTCTTCTGGGAATCTACGAGAGTAAGTAGATGGAGCAGTAAGAAAGGCATGCTCATTTCTTCTTTTATCCCAAATATTAAAATACTCAGCCAATTATTCAAGGTTGGCAAACTCAACCAAAGGGTAAAAAACTTATTTATATAAAATGAATTCCCATGTTCCCTCCAAACATGCTGATTACAAGCTGTAGAACTGATTGTCCTACGTTTTCACTGTTAAGTGCTCTTCAGTGTTTAGTATCCCCTAGACAAGACTTGCAGCCAGGTGCAGTTTGGATTTTCTGGTCTCTCCAGCCGTCCATCCCCCTGGAAGTATTGTGGGAGAAGTAGCAGCTCTCTTCGTGGAATACTCCATGCAATTCCACATCAATATTTGGGCTGGACATACAAGTGCATGCAGATGTGTCAGCCGGCACAAGAAGGTCCTGGTAGAGACTAGTGTGAGTCCCTGGAAAGCCATTGCTAGTCAGCGCAGCCAACAGTAAGCAAGATGCACCATTGCTCTGGCTTAGAATGGAGCATCCTAAGAGCCGAATTTGAGTTGACGATTAATAAAGGACGGTTGAGCAAGGGGAAGTGGAATCAAGAATAATTCTGATGTGATCTCTCTCCCTGACAGGATTAAGTGTTTAGATAGTGCACCTGAAGAAAGCCAAAATTGGATTGAGACACTTAGGTCCCTCTCCTTCTCTGTAATCATCTTTTCCTAATCACCTTATGAAACATTTATCTCCTCAGAAATGAATATGAGAGAATGGCCTCAGAAGGCTTATGGCTAGGATGCCTGCAACCACCTTCCCTTGAGTTTGTATGGCCAGTTTTGCTGACAACCTTCTTTATACATCATGGAGTAAGCTCATAATAACCACCTCTTTCATGCCAAAATTGCTCTCAGAGTGCAGGTGTTCTCAGCATCTTTAAGGCTATTTGGGAACTGTAACTTACAGAATGATAGATAAGCTTTGATAGCATCAGCAAGCAATCTGATGTTATATCAAACATATAATGATAACGCATTGTTTCTGTAGAAAATGAGACAGCTGCATCTGCAATTGTGGTTACCTTGCCAGACACAGAAGTCAGTATACATCCTCAGCAGTTAAAACGTAGCTATCAAACAAATATGTTAATAGACTTGCAATAGTTTGATAGCTCAGAAACCTCCCCTGTCTAATTCAGACTCTGAAAGACCTACTCCAAATATAAATTATGCAAAATTCGGTCTGATTGAGCATGACTCTTTTTATGTTCTTATACCAGTGGGGAATTTTCAGTGGGAAATCTATTTTCATGTGCAAGAAAAAAATTGCCCACATATGGTGCCCACTGTGTTCTCTTTCCATAAAAGAGAGGAAAATGTTAAGAATCCTGCATCCCATGAAGCCTTCTGTATGGGCGATTACTTATTTTTCTGCTAGTTTCCTTGTTTGCACTGCTGATGTTAATACCTGATGGAGCACCTCTCCCAACCTTAATCTACTCAGATTCTACAAGCAACAGCTGAGGGTTTCCTCTCAATGAACCTCTGAGTGTAACATAAAGGGGAAAGTCCTTCTCTGTGGTGGCCCCCCGTTCTGAAAGTTCTCTCCATGGAGTCCTGCCTGGCACCCAGTCTGCTATCTTTCTGATTGTCTTTTTCTCCAAGCCATTCAATAACACTGAATGCCATGGGAGGTGGGCTGCTTGAAGTCAGTCTAGTTGTATTGGAAGAACTATTTACATTGTTATTTAAAGTGTTTAAAATTTTGTATATTAGAAAGTTTATGATGCTTTTATTCTGTCATCGTTTCTGTGCCTTTTATGAATTCTTATGACTCATTCAGAGAG